ATACAATATTGAAAATTCTACTAGTATTAATATTTGATTTATTTATTTATTTTATTTTATTTTTTTAAAAAGTTTACATTTGATCCTTTTTTGTTGGTGATGTCATATTTTTTTAATAATGGTGATGAACACTGGTTGAGGTTTTTCTGGGGGCCCCAACATCATGAGAGATAAATAAGGAGAGATAAATCAGTTGTACTGTCGGCAGCAGTAGCTCAATCCATAGGTACTTGGGTTGGGAACCGATTCAAGTTCCCGTCCGGACCAAAATATGGAGCATGTACTGGTACCTGAAAATGTGCCACTTTGCCTCCTGGGCACTGCCGAGGTGCCACTGAGCAAGGCACCGAACCCCCAACTGCCTAGAGTTCCTGTCCATGGGCAGCCCCCTCGCTCTGACATCTCTCCATTTAATGCATGTATAGGTCTTGTTTGTACATGAATGTGTATTTGGGGCCTGTGTGTGTATGACAACAGAGTGAAAAAATGGAATTTCTCCTCTGGGATTAATGAAGTATATCTTCTTTGTAGAACAGAGTACCTTGCCTGCACTCAACAGCTTCTTGCCACCTCTCTTTGAAGATGAAGACTCTGCAGGGAGATGAACTCTGCTTTCCGCAGCTCCTCAACAATTCTTGCAGGAAACCCATGCCGCCTCAGTCTGATGCCATGCTTGCTTACACTCTGCTGTCCTTCATCTCTCTGCTCACTGCAGCTCTCAACCTGCTGATCATCATCTCCATCTCACACTTCAGGCAGAGATAAACTCTCAGCATGACCTAATATATTTTCAAAATGAAACCATATGTATTCCTATTCTGTGTTTAAACAGTTCTCACTAGAAAATATTATGTATTCAAACGTTATGTTGTGACTAAAGCAATCACCCCTGAATAGATTCATGCCTATAAAAATGTCCTTGCTACTATGTCTGTGACTAAAAGGCTACTGCTGATGATAATTGTATAAGTAATGATTTTTTTTACTCTTCAGGCAGCTCCACAGCCCCACCAACTTCCTCATCCTCTCCCTGGCTGTGTCAGACTTCCTTGTGGGCCTCCTGCTAATGCCGGTTGAAATCCTTCTAACAGAGGCTTGCTGGTTCCTGGGTGACCTGATGTGTGCTCTGTACTATATTTTAGATTTTATCATCACCTCTTCTTCGGTTGGAAACATAGTGCTCATATCAATTGATCGTTATTTGGCTATATGCGATCCTCTACATTACACCACCAGAGTCACTGTTGACAGAACAAAGATCTGTGTTTGCCTTTGTTGGATTTGCTCTGTTCTCTATAATAGTCTAATTTTAAAGGACTTTCTGAGACAACCTGACTCACAGAATTCCTGCTACGGAGAGTGTGTAGTTGTCCTTAACCACATCACAGGAGCTGTCGACCTTGTTTTTACCTTTATTGGCCCCATTACTGTCATCATAGTTCTGTATATGCGGGTGTTTGTGGTGGCCGTGTCTCAGGCTCAAGCCATGCGGTCTCATATTGCAGCTGTCACACTTAAAGGTTCAGTGGGTGTTACTGCTAAGAAATCTGAGATGAAAGCGGCCAGGACTCTTGGTGTTGTTGTTGTTGTATTTCTAATATGTTTCTGTCCATATTACTCCCCATCCCTTGCTGGTGAAGATATTGAGGACAGCAGTTCGTCCTCACCCTTTGTAGTGTGGCTGCTGTATTTCAACTCCTGTCTGAACCCTGTGATCTATGCCTTTTTTTACCCCTGGTTCAGAAAATCTATCAAACTCATTGTTACACTGAAGATACTGCAGCCTGACTCCTGTGATACTAAAATACTATAGAGACAGACTGGTGGGTAACATCAGTAAAACTGCAGATGAAAATGTAATTGCTGTTGTTATTGAGTCACTCAAGAAAAAACAAAAGACAAAAGGTGTTATGGCGGAATCACATTCAGTATTAGACAACCAGTTGTGTTCATTGTCATCATTACAACGGAAATTATAATCCAACATGCCTCTGTAATTCACACAGTGGCAATGACATTCACATGAAAATGTTTACGCTTTTAGCTGACTACAGAGTGATGCTATTCATGTGTGCATCATCTCAGAAACGTAAATGTGTGATTAAATATAGTAATTGGTTTATTTTCAAAAGCATCTTTCTTTTATTTTCATTTATTTTCCTGAATCATGTTTTCCTGTGTATGTGAGCAAGCCAGTAGTATCCTGTCCTGCCCCGTCCAGGGTCCTGTGTCTGACCATGCTTCTTGTCTTTGAGGTTCCCAAGAACATTCAAGTAACACAGTGCATTATAAAGCCATTCAATCCTTCCTGGGTGTCCATAAATTAACTTCAATTTTTGCCATTATTGGAGAAACGGGATGGGAACTTACAAACCTCAATTAGAGGCTCACTAAAAAGATGTGAAGTGATTTAAAAGAAGTCACTGAATCTGCAAACCTTAGATCCTCGGGCAGGTCGTTCCAAAGCCGAGGGGCCCTGATGGAAAAAGCTCGGTCACCCTTAGACTTCAGCCTCGACTCTGGAACAACCAAAAGGCCCCTGCCCGAGGATCTAAGGCTGCGTACAGGCTCATATGGGGTCAACATTTCTGTTATATAGCTAGGGGCCAGACCCAGACGTGCCTTAAAAGTGATCAGTAAAATCTTAAAATCGATTCTAAAAGAGACAGGGAGCCAATGAAGGGACGCAAGAATAGGGGTGATGTGATGTCATCTGTTAAAACCAGTGAGAAGCCCAGCTGCTGCGTTCTGAACTAGTTGGAGGCGGGAGAGTGATTTATGGTTGATGCCGGAAAGGAGGAAGTTACAGTAGTCTAGTCTGGAGAAGATGAATGCATGGATAACTTTTTCTAGGTCAGGGCGTGAAAGCATGGGTTTAATTTTTGAAATAATTCGTAATTGATAGAAACAGGACTGAACAACTTTCTTGATGTGGGGTTGAAAACTGAGATCTGAATCAAGTGTAACTCCAAGATTTTTGGCTGTGGGCTGAACATTTGAGGATAATGGACCGAGGTTGTTATTGATGAGGCTGATTGATTTTGAGGAACTGAACAGCAGAATTTCTGATTTTGAGTTGTTGAGTTGAAGATAATTTTGTGCCATCCAACAGTTGATATCTTTGATACAGTCTACGACAGCAGCTAGGCTTCTGGGGTCACCGGGTCTCAGCGGGAGGTATATCTGTGTGTCGTCCGCATAACAATGGAAAGAGACATTGTGCCGCTGACTGATCTGACCGAGAGGAAGCATATAAATAGAAAATAAAATTGGACCTAAAATCGAACCCTGTGGTACACCACAGGTAATGTGAGCTGTTGAAGATGAGTGATTACCTATGGTGACCGCAAAGGTTCTTTCTAAAAGATAAGAATAAAACCAACTAAGTGCAGTGTCCCTGATGCCAACCCAGGTTTTAAGGCGGTCGATTAAAATGGCATGATCTACAGTATCAAAGGCTGCACTTAGGTCTAAAAGAATTAAAATTGCACTCTCCCCTCTATCGGTTGCTAAAAGAAGATCATTAGTTACTTTGAGGAGGGCAGTTTCTGTGCTGTGTAAAACTCTAAAACCTGATTGAAATTTCTCAAAGATGTTATTTTGACACATAAAAGCTAAAAGCTGTGTTGAAACAACCTTTTCTAAAACTTTGGATAAAAACGGAAGTTTAGAAATTGGCCTAAAATTATTAAGAATTGAAGGATCGAGGTTAGGTTTCTTTAAAAGAGGTTGGACCTCAGCATGTTTAAAAACAGCAGGAAAAATACCTTTTGTGAGAGAGCTGTTAATAATCAATAAAATACTGGGCCCAACTGTGTCAATGACATCTTTAAGAAAACTGGATGGAATAAAATCAAGACTGCAAGTAGTTGGCTTCATGTGAGAGATAGAGATAGAGATAGAGATAGGAGAGATAGAGAGATAGGTTCAAAACTGTTAAAATAGATGTGAGTCTCCCTACTGGCATGTACAGCATGAACTGGGGGGGTAATTTGTTGCCTAATATTTTCAACTTTATCGATAAAAAATGTTAAAAACCTCTCACAGAGCTCCTGTGAGGAGTCAGTAAAATGACTGGGGGAGGGGGAAGTAAGGGAATCTAAAACCTTAAATAAAATTCTGGGGTTAGAATGATTAGTTAAAATAAGATTAGAATAGAAGGAGGCTCTTGCCTCCTTAACTGCCCTTTGATAGTTAATCATTGCATCTTTCCAAATTTGATAAAATACTTGTAAACCTGTTTTCTTCCATTTTCTTTCTTTTCTTCTGCAGTCTCTCTTCAAATCATGGGTGGATTCATTTAGCCAGGGTTGTAAAATTTTGTTAGACCTTTTGTCCCTGTAGGGGGCGACAGAGTCGAGGACAATCTGGCAGGTTTCATTAAAAAAGGGAGACCAGCTCCTCTGTGCTAAAATGCGAGATTAACTCTTCTGTGTTAAAATTGGGATAAAAGGCAGTTAAAGAAGCAGGATTAAAAAGCTCAGAAAACTTAGAAACAGAGGAGGGGTTAAAAGCACGACGGCGGACAGGTGTACAGTGATTAAAAGGTATCTGGGATAAAACCACATTAAATAAAACTGCTTTGTGGTCAGACACACAGATATCCTCCGTCATAAAATTGTTAGGGCTGAGACCGGTAAATAAAACAAGATCCAGAATGTGTCCCTTTGAGTGTGTGGGTTCATGAATAGCTTGAGTGAGGTTAAAAGTTTCCAAAGTATCCATAAAATCAGTCACAAAGGTCTGGGAGGGACAACACACATGTATGTTAAAATCGCCTAAGATGAGGATTTTTTCATACTTTACCATAAAATGTGATAAAAACTCTGTAAATTCTTCGATAAAAACAGTATTAGGCTTAGGTGGTCTGTAAATAATTAAAATTAAAACGGGATCTTTACAATTAACCATGAAACCAAGATGCTCAAAAGAGGTAAAATTACTATGAGAGGTAGAGGTGCATTTGAAATCTTTTCTATAGATGACAGCCACCCCCCTTCCCCTACCTGACAGCCGGGGCTGATGAAGGTAAGTAAAATCAGGGGGGGTGGCTTCAATGAGAGGGCTGCAGTCTTCTTGGGATAGCCAGGATTCAGTTATAATAAAAAAGTCCAAGTTATTATGAGTAATAAAATCATGACATAAAAAACGATTTCATGACATAAAAACGATTTCATTGTTACTATTCTTTGTCCCTTGGACTGGACAGAAATAACACATGATAAAGTATCCCAAAAAAATGCTTATTGATTATTTATGAGTGTATTTAGAGTAGAAATACACCATTACAATATGTGTGTTTTTTGTGTTTGGAACATAATACAGTTCTGAACTGGTTAAGGTGGGGGTTTGTCATTTATGTACCTATTGCACAGTTTAAAGCAAAACAAGAAGAGGGGTTGCCTCAGCTGCTCTTAGCAACTCAAGAGGCTCTGTACTCTACAGGTAATACTCCTGTACTCACGAGCACGCATTCACACACTGACAAAAGCATTAACGTGGCCAGCAAATCAGGATGAAATGCCTGCTGACTCCACAGTATATAGGAAGGCAGTAGGGATTGAATGCTATGACACAATATCAACTGCTGCTTTGTTGATGGGAAAGCCAGTGGCAAGCGTTTGCAGTGTTCAGCCCTTTCTGTGCCAGCCCCTCATAGGCTAGCCTTGTGTGTATGGAGGGTCTGGTGGTGGGGAGAGCCCAGATAGGTTATCACTGCCACCCTGCGGGGGTTGCTCATGGGCTATTCTCTCCAGTCCTGCCACGAGCATCAAGGAGGTGAATCTGTCCTCCCAGGAGGAGATAGATTACCTCTCAGCAGAGATCTAACACCTCTTATAGACTCTTATAGACTCAGGCTGTGTCTGTTGTCCCCACTTGCATCCTAAACCAATGTGTTTGACACAAGACGTTCCATATGCTAACCATCAAATAATTACTGGAACTGGTCCAGCTGGGTGATTGGTTCATCAGCATCGACTATACAGGATGCTGACTGTCATGTTGAGGTGGCTCCAAAAACAGGAAATTTGTGTGTTTCGCCTTCCAGGTAATAGCGTACGAGTACAACAAACTGCCATTCAGCTATTCCCTGGTATTCTGCAGCTTCAGCAAATGTGTGGATGTGGGGCTTCAGCCACTGTGTGACTGTGGCATGAAGGTCTTTTTTTTATCTTGAAGACCTCATGGCAAGTCCAAGTTACTGGCTATGTTCCACACATCCTAGTTATCTTATGTCTAACCAAGTTGGGTTTGCAATCAGTTGGATGAAGAGCAGCCCCCTGCAGCTTGGTGCAATGCTAACGGTGTTGACTGTCATGCAGTCATGGCGGCGGCAGCCCACCCGTGGTACTATAGTGGGTAATGCACCTGTGGTGCCTGCAGAGGTGGTCTGCTAGCCTATGCTTGGTTCCCAAGCCACACAAGCCACGTTTGGTTATTATTCCCCCCTCAGTATAGGACAACCTGAGATACTGTGGGTCCCCACAACACCTGTTGCAGGAAACACCGCTGGCACAAGTGACCTCTGACGTCAGTGATTACGGATGCGTCCCTGACGGGGTGGGGAGGGACCTGCCACCTAAAGCAGCTACCTCTGGGCTGAAAAAAGAAGCAACACGGAAGCAACAAAAACTACAATTCCTAAAATGGCCACTTGATGTTGGCTCCAAAATTGAGTCAATCCCCACAGACAGCATGTTAAATTCCCCAACTCTACAGCAGAAGTAAAATGCCTGGTACAAAAAAACAGTTTTCTTCTCTACAGCAACATCCCTTTTCCACAGGCCAGTTGCTAAAAGACAGTTGTCCTTC